ACGACAGGCTGTGAACTCTCTGGTCACTCAGACAACACAGATCAAGCAATAAAGTACTAAGTTGACAAATTTTTGGAGTCGTTTCAGTACCTGTCCATAGACTTTCAAGTTATCTTTCTTTCCTCTGTCATACATGGCAACAGTTCCTTTCTTGACCATTTGCAACCAATGCTGAATGTTCATAGACGAGGTTCCAGCTGGAGTGTGGGTCAAGTAAACAGGCACCCGAGTCTTAAAAGAAAAGCCCTTCATTTTCTTCCTTTTTTTACTTATTTATCTAGTCTTCTTCTTTCTTTGAAAAATGGTTCATAAAACGAATAAAGTAGTTACCGTGTTCATTTGATTGCTTTCAGGACCGGCGATAAGGAAAAGCATGTTATCGCACAAATCATTCTCAATCTAAATTACAATAAAATTAATTATTCGAAAGCTATCCCTTCCTACTCGGTAAGGAAATGGGTGAAAAGTACAAAAATGTATTGGCGAACCTTTAATCCTCCACATACAGCTGTGGCTACAGTTTTCATGATTATGTTATTGGGTAAGAACTCGCCCGCACCGAATACATCAAACCAAGCCTGAGAGATTGTGGATTGGAAAGAAATGAAATAGTTCATACATCTACTTCAATACTGAAATTGTCAGCGAGAAATTTGAGCATTCCTTTGATATGCTTAACAGAGCCGATTGGAGCCAAAGCGAAGAATTTTTTGATCTATAAAGATATGGGAGATGAGAACGGCTTTTGGCTTTCATAAACCTTTTGAGAAAATTCTGGCTCTTGTGAGAGCTTGGCAAACATAGTCAATGTACCTTGTGAGTGCCCCATATAGTATAGAGATGGTTGGCCAGTAACGTTCAATACATAATTGATCATAGCATCCAAGTCATGCTTAGACATCTCATCCCATCTGTAAAACATTTAGAATCTTTCGGAAAACTGAGCGCCGATCATATGATTCACATAATATTTTACATAACTTACGTCCATTTCCAGAAGGCATCATGTTTAGGCTTTAATGATACATGGTTTGTGCTGTAAGTATTTCCTCTCATGTTTCCAAGCCATACATCGAAACCAGCATCAGCAAATAAAAATCCTGCAAGTATTATCCTAGTGTTATGCTGAAGCAAGAAAAAAATGAATTCCACCTGCGCTCTCAGTTGGCAAATTGGCAATCCAGTTAGAGCTACTGCATTCCAATCCATGCTGCATGAAGATGACCGGACGATTGGGGTTCATATCTGAAGACAGTATGAAATCATAGAAATCAAACAACAGAATAGAATTGCCAAGCAACCGTCTTTCATGATTTTTGAGAAGATATAACGCTTAGCTAAGCTATCTATTGTCTACGTGGAATTTGCATAATGATCAAACCACTATACACGTATTCTAATTTCCACGTATAAATTGCATTTCGATAACAATTGTGAAAATTAATAAAAACAAACTATTTTTCCCAAATGGAATACGATGAAGCTCTAGAATATATCCATCTTCGGTTGTAACATGTTCTGTCTGTGACGGATATCCCCAATGCTCAATAATTTGTGGCTGAACACATTCAAATATATAAGTGATTATCTATCTTAAATAGAATTAATATGTATATTGACTGAAAATATACATTTATAGATATATTATTATAATTATTATTATTCGGTTTATTAAAACACTTACTGTATTCATTTTACATTCTGGATCTTCCTTCTTTGCCCATATTTGGACAATTAGTAGAACGAAAACGCCGATGTGCCTCATCTTGAGAACACGTGCGACTGATTGAAGTAATCGTCTTATCAGTTAACATATTCCATTTGTTATCACAGAAAATTTTCCTTTTATTTATTTCTATGATTGCATTGAAGGAAAGAAAAAAATAATTTTTCATCTTTTCCTCGAACACATCACATGAGTGAATTTTTGATTTTTAATCCCATTTTTTCACGATTACACAATCTCGAAAAGTATTTATGTTGTTGAGAGTGTAAAAGAGTTGTAATGAGAATGATGACAATGAATGTCGTCTATATGCATGTTATTCATACAATTAAGCTAGTTTCTCTTCTATTATTATATGCATATTGAAGCTTCTTCACCTCCATTTATTGGACCAAATCCTCTTCTTCAGCACCACATCCCACGTCATCGGTTCACATCACTACCATCGTACGAAAGCTCATCATCAAACATATTCAGAATTATATAGAATGTTGTATTCGATTCAAATCTGTATGTTTCAGTCTTCGTTAAAGATGACGTTTTACGTCCTCTCAAACTTTCAATCATCTTTTTGCTCGTAATGACACGAAGCAAGCGGGGCAATTCTGACTTAAAGCACCTCATGCACCGACAATGACCGCGCACACAACCACAGACATACACATACATACACACATAGGCCACCAAAATCTCTCGTACTGCTCAATCGTTCATCTAAAATCTTCATTTCTATGAAATCTCTTAGTGTCTATATGTGTACCACAAAGATATTTAAAGTTTACACTTCTTTTTCTATCTCAACAGTTCATTAGATGAACCGTTTCTTCTTTCTGTTTCTCTCTTCAGTCCTCGTCTACGTAGCTTGTATCCGTTTATCGGTTCATTCGTTCGTTCGTCTGTCCGTCCGCACTCGATCTCTCCCTTTCCCTTCTCTTTATTTGCGACTTTGGGCTCTCCCTCATCTGAGCAAGTCACGCAGCCCAGACCGTGTTCATTTTTCTCACAGTCTCTCATCCAAAATGCTTTCAGTCACGTTCTATCTCTATAAAAATCATTGAAAATTCACTTCAATTCCTATAAATATCTTTTGGTCCTAATTTTTTCTCAAAACGTGCAAACGATGTCGATGAACAGCTATTTTTGGATTCGCATACGTTTCTCCTTTTTAACTTTATCTCAGTTCTAAACCCTCTTTATAAACATAAACCTGCTCTTCACTGACAGCCCTTGTCAATTCAGTAGTTTGTTCATGAGGAAAGTTTGAAGAAACAATTTCTTCAGTCTTATCCAAACTCTGTTCTCATTGCATTTCATACATTTTTTTCAATTTTACTTTATCGCTTTCAATTTCCGTTCCTGATCATTGTTCATCGCCTAGCTTATGCTGATTAATACATTTGAATTCACGTTCACGTAGAATAGCGGACGGTCATTTCATTTTCATTTTTTTGTGTAGCAAAGAGCGGTTGTATCTATTTTTCTTCCTTGCTACTGTCTATCGTTCTTTCCTTCTCATTCTCTTTGTCGTGTCTCCTCTCTCTCTCTCTCTCTCTCTCAATGTCTCTTTCTCTTTACATACTCTTGCTTTACCACTTTTCGATTTTTGTTAACTTTGAACATTCTTCTTTCTTTATTTATTTTAAAAAGACATAAATGAAGATTATGGAAGCAAACACATTCGTTCAAATAATATTCTGCTTTTCATTCTATTAGCTGTTCATTATCATTTTATTGTTCAGAATCATTTCAGCAGTAGCTTCACTTTGAACTTCCTCCTTCATCTCTCTCTCTCTCTCTCTCTCTCTCTCTCTCTCTCTCTCTCTCTCTCTCTCTCTCTC